TCTCTGGATCAAATTAAGGTTTCTCGAAATTTATTAAGTACCCCTTTCTAAAATATATTTGACCCTAATTGATATGCTAGGGATAGTGACTGGGTGCCTTAGCAGTTAAATGTCGTTATCCTAATTGCTACCTACGGTAAAATATTAAAGCTAAATGTTACTAATATCACTCTTGATGAATCCTATCCCAATGTGATGACACACAAATTATTCAAAACTTGCTTCTCTTGTGAGATAAGCGCATGGATACTGACTCGAGCAGAATTCCTGTATGTCTGTCACTGTTAGGCAAACATTAACATTGAAAGATTCGACTTTTGAACTTACAAGTTATTGACACTTGAACAGACAAAAAGCTTGGACGACAAGCTCGCAAGGCAAGCTTGCACGCTGTCTGAATCCACGCTCAGGGATGACTTGAGAGCTCTATAAAGAGATTATGAAGGGAGCATATTCTATTTATGGACAGAGCCCATAAATAAATAGCATGATAAAAAAAGGAAGATTCAAGATAAAACGGAATTAAAAGCTATCAAACGGCAGCAAACCTGCATAAGGCATCTATTGCTGTGTTTCTTAAGGAATCTAAGGCCGACTTCCTTTTCGCCGTGCTCTCCTCTTGCCGACGTTCCTCACCACGTTTTTCGCTTGACTGAAAAGGAGTAGTTTGAAGAGAGTTGTTTCGCTACAAATTAATAAAAATGAAGAGATTACTCTTCATTTATTACCATGCTCTTGATTTGTACAGGAACAATGCCACGCGTTACAAATATATTACGGTAAATCATAATTACAGCAAAGTTTCATGATAGAAGATTTTATGAATTACGAAGGTTACCGTTTCCGATGAAAGTTTCGTAAGTATCGGTGCCGGTTCGAGAAGAAATCGGGAAAGAATTGGTACTACAGTGGCTGTGGCAACGGATGGAAACTTCTCGGCTAGTCCTAGAGATAAGATTTCATGCTAGCTCTTAGTTGAGTCGTTTCGAGGGAATTAAATTATAGACACGATGCCGCACCACCAAGTGATGAAAGGGCTTTGAGAGCAAGAGGAAGCTGGGAAAGTTGCACGCGGTTTGTACTTATTGAGAATAAACGTCCAGACATTCTCGAACATACTGCATCGGAATCTGAAGATAGAACATTATCAAAAATTCACTCAGAAAAATCACAAATTTTTGATAGACCCTAAGAGATACGAAACACACCTATATCATCGATAGCAGCCCATACAATCAATTCCAGACCGCAAGCCATTGCCAGAATAGACATGCTCTGTCGTGGAAGCTCTAAGTCCTGCGCACGTCGAGAAACGCCAACTGGGGTCATTCGTCGGTCTCCCAAGAACGAAAGCCGCTGAGACTCCAAAGAATTCAAGAGGTCAACCACAAAAGCATTCATCTAAAACGTCGCACTGTCATGGGAAGAATTACTCAATGCTGCATGTAAACGAACCTCTTTTGCAAAATTTTCTTTTATAGGAGAGTTTTTAGCTAATACAGAGATTGGTCGCAAGATCTCTCGAAGCATTGAAAGACATGCTAGAGTTATTGTCTCGCTAATAGTCTTGTAAGGGAACCGTTTGATGAAGGAGCCCTAAAGTTATGTTATTTCGATAAACACAATAAACCTAAAAACAATTTATATATATGGATATTCATTAGATGTTGGAAAGAAAATAATGACAACTACACAA